TATATCCATGGGGAAGTGGAATAAGAATCTTTCCTCCGTAAGCCATGCCTGCTGTAAAAGTCAACTAAAATGCCGGGAACAATGGGCTAGTAACCCCTTTTCCTGTAAAGATTACTAAAAAGAATAAGAAGAAGAAAATTGTCAAAGTGGGAAGTCTGAATGTGCTTGGATGTTGTGCAAATGATAAGAGAGAGATGATTGTGGATGTTATGAATGAGAAGAAGCTGGATGTCCTGGCTTTAAGTGAAACAAAGCTGAAGGGGGTGGGAGAGTTTCAGTGGAGAGGAATAAATGGGATTAGGTCAGGGGTTTCAAATAGTTAGAGCTAAAGGAGTAGCAATAATGTTGAAGGATAAGATATGGCAGGAGAAGAGGCACTATAAATGTATTAATTCAAGGATTATGTGGAGTAAAATAAAGGTTGGATGTGAAAAGTGGGTTATAGTAAGTGTATATGCACCTGGAGAAGAGAGAAGTGCAGAGGAGAGAGAGAGATTTTGGGAAATGTTGAGAGAATGCATGGGGAGTTTTGAACCAAGTGTGAGAGTACTTGTGGTTGGGGATTTCAATGCTAAAGTGGGTAAAAATGTTGTGGAGGGAGTAGTTGGTAAATTTGGGGTGCCAGGGGTAAATGTAAATGGGGAGCCTTTAATTGAGCTATGTGTAGAAAGAGATTTGATAATAAGTAATATATATTTTATGAAAAAGAGGATAAATAAATATACAAGGTATGATGTAGCACGTAATGAAAGTAGTTTGTTAGATTATGAATTGGTGGATAAAAGGTTAATGGGTAGGCTCCAGGATGTACATGTTTATAGAGGGGCAACTGATATATCGGATCGTTATTTAGTTATAGCTACAGTTAGAGCAAGAGGTAGATGGGACAAGAGGAAGGTGGCAACAACAAGTAGGAGGGAAGTGAAAGTGTATAAACTAAGGGAGGAGGAAGTTCGGGTGAGATATAATCGACTATTGGCAGAAAGGTGGGCTAGTGCAAAGATGAGTAGTGGGGGGGTTGAAGAGGGTTGGATGAGTTTTAAAAATGCAGTATTAGAATGTGGGGCAGAAGTTTGTGGTTATAGGAGGGTGGGGGCAGGAGGAAAGAGGAGTGATTGGTGGAATGATGAAGTAAAGGGTGTGATAAAAGAGAAAAAGTTAGCTTATGAGAGGTTTTTGCAAAGCAAAGTGTTATAAGAAGAGCAGAGTATATGGAGAGTAAAAGAAAGGTGAAGAGAGTGGTGAGAGAGTGCAAAAGGAGAGCAGATGATAGAGTGGGAGAGGCACTGTCAAGTAATTTTAATGAAAATAAGAAAAAATTTTGGAGTTAAACAAGTTAAGAAAGCCTAGGGAACGTATGGATTTGTCAGTTAAAAACAGAGTAGGGGAGTTAGTAGATGGGGAGATGGAGGTATTGGGTAGATGGCAAGAATATTTTGAGGAACTTTTAAATGTCGACGAAGAAAGGGAGGCGGTAATTTCATGCACTGGCCAGGGAGGTATACCATCTTTTAGGAGTGAAGAAGAGCAGAATGTAAGTGTGGGGGAGGTACGTGAGGCATTATGTAGAATGAAAAGGGGTAAAGCAGCTGGAACTGATGGGATCATGACAGAAACGTTAAAAGCAGGGGGGGATATAGTGTTGGAGTGGTTGGTACTTTTGTTTAATAAATGTACGAAAGAGGGGAAGGTACCTAGGGATTGGCGGAGAGCATGTATAGTCCCTTTATATAAAGGGAAGGGGGACAAGAGAGATTGTAAAAATTATAGAGGAATAAGTTTACTGAGTATAACAGGAAAAGTGTATGGTAGGGTTATTATTGAAAGAATTAGAGGCAATACAGAATGTAGGATTGTGGATGAGCAAGGAGGTTTCAGAGTGGGTAGGGGATGTGTAGATCAGGTGTTTACATTGAAGCATATATGTGAACAGTATTTAGATAAAGGTACGGAAGTTTATATTGCATTTATGGATTTAGAAAAGGCATATGATAGAGTGGATAGGGGAGCAATGTGGCAGATGTTGCAAGTATATGGAATAGGTGGTAAGTTACTAAATGCTGTAAAGAGTTTTTATGAGGATAGTGAGGCTCAGGTTAGGGTGTGTAGAAAAGAGGGAGACTACTTCCCAGTAAAAGTAGGTCTTAGACAGGGATGTGTAATGTCACCATGGTTGTTTAATATATTTATAGATGGGATTGTAAAAGAAGTAAATGCTAGGGTGTTCGGGAGAGGGGTGGGATTAAATTATGGGGAATCAAATACAAAATGGGAATTGACACAGTTACTTTTTGCTGATGATACTGTGCTTATGGGAGATTCTAAGGAAAAATTGCAAAGGTTAGAGGATGAGTTTGGGAGTGTGTGTAAAGGTAGAAAGTTGAAAGTGAACATAGAAAAGAGTAAGGTGATGAGGGTATCAAATGATTTAGATAAAGAAAAATTGGATATCAAATTGGGGAGGAGGAGTATGGAAGAAGTGAATGTTTTCAGATACTTGGGAGTTGACGTGTCAGCGGATGGATTTATGAAGGATGAGGTTAATCATAGAACTGAGGAGGGAAAAAAGGCGAGTGGTGCGTTGAGGTATATGTAGAGTCAAAAAACTATCTATGGAGGCAAAGAAGGGAATATATGAAAGTACAGTAGTACCAACACTCTTATACGGATGTGAAGCTTGGGTTGTGAATGCAGCAGCAAGGAGGCGGTTGGAGGCAGTGGAGATGTCCTGTCTAAGGGCAATGTGTGGTGTAAATATTATGCAGAAAATTCGGAGTGTGGAAATTAGGAGAAGGTGTGGAGTTAATAAAAGTATTAGTCAGAGGGCTGAAGAGGGGTTGTTAAGGTGGTTTGGTCATTTAGAGAGAATGGATCAAAGTAGAATGACATGGAGAGCATTTAAATCTGTAGGAGAAGGAAGGCGGGGTAGGGGTTGTCCTCGAAAAGGTTGGAAGGAAGGGGTAAGGGAGGTTTTGTGGGCGAGGGGTATGGACTTCCAGCAGGCGTGCATGAGCGTGTTCGATAGGAGTGAATGGAGACGAATGGTATTCGGGACCTGACGATCTGTTGGAGTGTGAGCAGGGTAATATTTAGTGAAGGGATTCAGGGAAACCAGTTATTTTTATATAGCTGGACTTGAGTCCTGGCAATGGGAAGTACAATGCCTGCACTCTAAAGGAGGGGTTTTGGGATATTAGCAGTTTGGAGGGATATGTTGTGTATCTTTATATGTATATGCTTCTAAACTGTTGTGTTCTGAGCACCTCTGCAAAAACAGTGATTATGTGTGAGTGAGGTGAAAGTGTTGAATGATGATGAAAGTATTTTCTTTTTGGGGATTTTCTTTCTTTTTGGGTCACCCTGCCTCGGTGGGAGACGGCCGACTTGTTAAAAAAAAAAATAACATAAATAATGTAGAAGCATGATAAAGATGCCCAAATTAATAAAAACTGACATTATATAGAGAGGTATCGAAGGGTGGAGGCAGGGAGGGATAAAAGAAAAAAAAAGTGACTGCAACCATTACAGAAAATGTTACATGCTATGCACCTGAAGGGTAACTATAGAAGATCACTCTTATCCTACGCAAAGACTGAAAAAAAGTGTGATTTTCTTGGAAAAAAAAATCCCAAGTAATCAGCTATGCACTCGTTTCCTGGAATATCTCGGAAGTAAGTCATTACTTATTTCATGTTGTATTACCATTAATAATAAACAGACTGAAAGGAATTTACCAGTAAACATAAAAGTGAATGTTTTAATTTTGGGTGGTAACACTCTTGAAGTGTCAGTAAGGGGTGATTCCTCGATTAGCGATGAATTCATTTACTGGCAGGATCTTAGGAATGGAACTCTGTCGGTAAGTGAGGATAGGCTGTGTTGAAAGAGTTAAGGGTAAAACAGAAGGCAGGATTGTGGAAAAAGCACTTATGTAGAGTTCAGGACATTTATTAAAGGAAACCTTTTGCCATGTTTCCTTTTATAAATGTCCTGAGCACTACATGTGTTTTTCCAGAGCATGTTGGTATCACCATGCCATTTAACAAACCCAAGGATAGGAGTGCAGAGGAATAAAGATAATTTAGGAAGGGGAAGGTGAAGGGAATGTGTAGTCCCAATATTTACATTATGAATGTTTATGGATTTTGAGGAGGCATATGATAGAGTGAACAGAGTAGCAATATGGCAGATGCTGCAAATGTATGGAATAGGTGATAATTTACTAAAAGCAGTTTTAATATGGCAGAGGTTAGGGCATAGAGGAGAGTGAGAGGACTAATATCTAGTAAAAGTAGGCCTTACAGGGGTGAGTGATGTCACCATGGTTAACATATTTAGAGATAGGATACAAAAAAAAAGTCTGATAGGGTGTTGGAGAGAGGTGTGGAGCTGAATATGATACAAAGTGACAGTGACAGCTCCTTCATTAGATTCTGAAGAGAAGTTTCAAAAAATGGTAAATGAATTTAGGAAGGGATGTAAATAAGGAAATCAAAGGAACATGAGAAAGAGTACAGTTGAGCAGTGACCTGTCATGAAAAAATCTGCTAAGGTAAGCAAATGACACTGGTAACTTATGGGGGCTTAAGCCCCCCAAATAAAAATAACCTCCCCCTTGCAACAGTTAGCAACCCCTAACCCCCCCAGTATAGAAATTCTGGTGCTGCTTCTGACCATCAATTTCTAATTTCTTCATTTTTTGCATAATATTAACAGCACACACTATGCCATACTATCATCTTACATTTCTTACCTTAAAATTTTTCAGTACCTATGTACTATAGTAACAAAATCATAAGTCTGATGGAAAGTATGATAGAAATATTTTTATCCATTTTTTTTATGTATTCACTGTGACAACTGAAAAAAATATTGTGCAAGCAGAGAAAATGCATATGCCAAATTGAAATTTTGGCTAACATATATACTACTGTGTGACTGACCTTAAAATCTAACATTACAGATAAAATGTAATTTTTAAGTTTACATACAGGACTTACTCCAAATAAAAATGAAGAGAGTCCTGTGCCTCCTGGCCTGTTCCATGTTCATGAAAACCAGAGCCAATTCCTCTAATTGATAGGGCTACTGCTGTTTCTTCTTGTATATAGCGTAGATTCATGCCACTTTCACCAAGAAGACGAGCTCGAATATCGGTAGGGTTAAGACCAATATTTACTGGGAGAAAAATTTTCTCTCTGAATATCTGGAACAATGAATCACGCTGCATGAAATGTTATCAAACTAATAATTCATTAACTAATACTGTACATATAAAGTGGAACCCCGGTGTTTGAACGTACCAGACCTCAAACATATAGGAGTCCGTACAATTTTGTTCATAAAAAATTGACCCAGTCTTTGAATGTTTTTCTGGAGTCTGAATGCTCTGACTTGTTTAAAATTCAGTTGTAAAAATACTTTACAGAAAAGCCCTGTTTCAAAAGTGATTTGAAGTGGCTTCTGACACTGACCTAACTCCCAGGAGGAAGAGTCAATTCAACATTCTACACTGTGTGAGGCTGATAATTAAAGCCTGGTAAATACTGTTTCAAACAACGAACTCTTCACAGTTTGAACACCACCTAGGAACCAATTAAGTTCAAACACTGGGGTTCCACTGTAATACATAATACAAGTACTCCTCACTTAGTGACATACTCGTTTACTGACCGCTCAGAGTTACGACTAGCTCTCTGACCAGTCGGCACTGTACGCCGTACAAGAACTTGGGTCATGGAAACGGGCAGTGTGGCATCTCAGTATGAAGCATCTCAATCTCCTTGCTGTAGCCACTCAATACACTAGCTTTCACAGTCTCCAAGATTACATATTTGTACAAATTTGTACTTTATTGTGCACCCCATAGTACAAGATAGAGTTAAAAGTGCAGCAGCACAGGGAAAAGGAAAATGGAAGTTCACTGTAAAGGGGTTAGCTGGTATGTGTGTCTGTGTGTTTACATTCTCGGTCTCTCTCAAGGCATCTAAGGGTAGGTGTTGGAAATGATTCAACTTGGTGAACAAGGTATGTTGATGGTAATAATAATAATGATAATAATAATAATAATTAAAGGTAGAAAGTTAAAAGTGAACACAGATAAGAGTAAGGTGCTGAGGGTATCAAACGATTTAGATGAAAAATTGAATATCACACTGGAGGGAGGGAGTATGGAAGAAGTGAATGTTTTCAGATATTTGGAAGTTGACTTATCAACAGATGGATTTATGAAGGATGAGGTTAGCCATAGAATTGATGAAGGAAAAAAGGTGAGTGGTGTGTTGAGGTATCTGTGGAGACAAAAAAAAAAAAACATTATCCATGTAGGCAAAAAAGGAAATGTACGAGAGTATAGTGGTACCAACACTCTTATATGGGTGTGAAGCATTTGTTGCAAATGCTGCAGCAAGGAACTGGCTGGAGGCAGCAGAGATGTCATGTCTAAGGGTAATGTGTGGTGTAAATATTTTGCAGAAAAATCATAGTGTAGAAATTAGGTGTGGAGTTACTAAAAGTATTAGTCAGAGGGCTGAAAAGGGGTTGTTGAGGTGGGTTGGTCAATTAGAGAGAATGGGTCAAAGTAGAATGACTTGGAGAGCGTATAAATCTGTAGGGAAAGGAAGGCAGGGTAGGGGTTGTCCTAGGAAAGGTTAAAGGGAGGGGGTAAAGGAGGTTTTGTGGGAGAGGGGCTTGGACTTCCAGAGAGTGTGTGTGAGCATGTTAGATAGGAGTGAATGGAGACAAATGGTTTTTGGGATCTGATGAGCTGTTGGAGTGTGAGCAGGGTAATATTTTGTGAAGGGATTCAGGGAAACTGGTTAGGCGGACTTGAGTCCAGGAAATGGAAAGTACAATGCCTACACTTTAAAGGAGGGGTTTGTGATATAAGAACATAAGAAAGGAGGAACACTGCAGCAGGCCTGCTGGCCCATACTAGGCAGGCCCTTTACAATTCATCCCACTAACAAAACATTTGCCCAACCCAACCTTCAATGCTACCCAAGAAATAAGCTCTGATATGCAAGTCCCACTCAAATCCAACCCCTCTCACTCATGCATTTATCCAACCTAAATTTGAAACTACCCAAAGTCCTAGCCTCAATAACCCAACTAGGTAGACTGTTCCACTCATCAACTACCCTATTTCCAAACCAATACTTTCCTACATCCTTTCTAAATCTAAACTTATCTAATTTAAATCCATTACTGCGGGTTCTCTCTTGGAGAGATATCCTCAAGACTTTATTTATATTCCCTTTATTAATACCCATCTTCCACTTATACACCTCGATTCTTTGTCTAACAAGTGAATGTAATTTAAGAGTCTTCAATCTTTCTTCATAAGGAAGATTTCTAATGCTATGTATTAATTTAGTCATTCTACGTTGAATGTTTTCTAACGAATTTATGTCCATTCTGTAATATGGAGACCAGAATTGAGATGCATAATCTAGGTGTGGCCTTACTAATGATGTATAAAGCTGCAGTATAACCTCTGGGCTTGAAATATCAGTAATGGGGAGCTCCTCGTTTAATGACCAATTCACTCGCCAACCTACTCTTAGGAACCTAACTTGGTTGTTAAGTGAGGAGTGCCTGTATTACATAAAATATATTAATACAGCCTCTCCTCACTTAACGATGCAGTTCCATTCCTAAGACCACGTTGGTAAACAAATTCGTCGCCAAGTGAGGAGCATACTATAATGATAGTGGGTTTGTGTCAACTATCTTTGATATTGTTTTAATGTCACCTTTACACCATTTGTTACATTTCTGGTATATGTATTTTTGAATGTTTATACAGTAGTGTACTGTATATCGTATTAAACAGAATAGAGGAAATCAGCTCTAATAGTATATACATTATTTAGGTATGCACATTGGTCAGAGAGCCTGTCGTAAGTCCGAGTTGTCGGTGAATGAATACGTCGCTAAGTGTGGAGAGGCTGTACATAAAATACAATTTTCTTGAACAGGTCCCTGAACAAACATGAACTCTTAGGCATTTTCATGAAATTATTATTAACCAACCAATGTATGCAATTCAAAAATTTAGAAACAAATTCGCAAAGTATATATCGCTCTGTGTATATTCACATTCTTTGAACATCTCTTATTTAAGGGATTCAAATACAGTATAATCTCTATTAACAGATTTTGGCAACCTCAGGAAAAAAAAAAAAAGGCCAGACATTTAATTATCAGACACAATGGACAAAAGTACATAACTCCACTAACTTGGACATTTGTCTGGTACAAGCCAAAGTGGCCATGTATAGGATCTATCTGTTTTCATTGTTCCCCAAGTTGTAGGTTATCCATGTCAAGGTCATTTGTGCTCACTCAGACATAAATCTGTCATTCAATCTCCAACTTTTGCTGGATTTATAGTATTTTGTGTAACTTTATTAACATATTAAGTAAAGTGCAATTATCAATGGCTTCTAAAGGAAGTAATGAAACCAAAAGAAAATGTGTGGCTTTCGGAAAGCTACATCTTCTTAGTTATCTATGTCTCCTCATCCCTCTACATCTCCTTAGCCATCTACATTATTTTCACTAGTAGCACTTTCCAACTTCTCTGACTCAGAATAAAAGTTAATCTGAGTTACCACTATCCATCATGATGTGGTTTACACCTCATTGCTCCACCACAAAAACGTAAGTAAAATTTCGTTAAATTAAGTAGAGTACAGTGGACCCTCAGTTATTGGCTGTTCCAGATGTTGATCAATTTGGTTTTCGCCCGCTTTTCTGGCCGAAATTCTATCCTGGTTATCAGCCACTATTTCAGAGATTGGCCATATCGGACGTGTCCACCCGCCACTCTGCCTCATTTGTGAGTCAGTCTGGCTGTGTCTCTGGGTGTATGAGGAAGCCTCCGTGCATTCATCCAAATATTTTGCTATAATCCATCGTTTTTTGTGGTTACTGATTGAGTGCAACTGCAAAATAAGCCACCATGGACCCAAAGAAAATTCCTAGTAAAGTTCCTTTGGTAAAGAAAGTGAGAAACACGATGGAATTTAAGAAAGAAACTGTTGAAAAGTATGAGAGTGGTGTACATGGACCAGCAGGTCATTACTAACTTCAAAAAACTTTACACAAAAGCAGTATTTCAAAGGTGCTTTGAAGTGACCTCAGACACTGACTTGACCGTAAGAGAGTTCTGGAGGAATCGCTTCAATATCCTCCACTGCATAAGCCTTATGGGTAAGGCTTGGCAGGGAGTGACTTCCAGGACTTTGAACTCTGCTTGGAGAAAATTGTGGCCAGAATGTGTCCTCGACAAGGATTTTGAAGGGTCTGAGGCTGACCCTGATGACCCTACACCTGTTGTGGAATCTACTGTCTTTGGGGAAGTCCATGGGGGTTGGAGGTGAGTGGCAAGGATGTGGAAGAGTTGGTGGAGAACCACAGGGAAGAGCTAACCACTGAAGAGCTGCAAGACCATCATCTGGAACAGCAACAGACCATAGCTGAGAAAATTGGTTCAGAGGAGGAGGAAGAGAGGGGAGAATGTGCTTTCTTCAGTGATTAAGGACATTTGTGCTAAGTGGAGGGAGGTGCAAACTTTTGTTGAAAAATATCACCTTGACCAAGCTCAAACAAGCCATATCTGCAAAATATTTAGTGACAAATCCTCGTCCTACTTCAGGCAAATCTTAGAGAGACACCAGAAACAGATCTCTCTGGACAGTCAGTTTTTTGGTGCAACAGGGGTGCAGTGACTCTCAAGCTGGTCCTAGTGGCAGTAAAAGACAAAGAAGGGATGAAACCCCAGAGAGGGTTTTGATATCTTGAAGTCCTTCTGGAGGGGGATTCCCCTTCCAAACAATAATCAGTCCTCCCCCTCCTCTTCCCTGTCTTCCATTAGCCAACAAGAGTCTTCAATAAAGGTATGTAATAGTGATTTAAATATTTTTTTTTTTTTATTTTATTTAGTTCTCATTGTTTTGTGTATGTAAAACTATAGTTAATCTTTAAAACATGAATTTTTTGTTAATATTTTTGGGTGTCTGGAACACTTTTTTTTTTTTCAACAAGTCGGCTGTCTCCCACTGAGGCAGGGTGACCCAAAAAGAAAGAAAATCCCCAAAAAGAAAATACTTTCATCATCATTCAACACTTTCACCTCACTCACACATAATCACTGGTTTTACAGAGGCACCCAGACACAATAGTTAAAAGCATATATAAAAT